ATTAATAAATTCGAAACTATTAAAATTTAAATATGGCTGAGAATTCAAATAACTTTACACGTTGTTGTGATTTTTAAAGCAATCTTATCCTGACTGGAAACACTGAATTTATATCGTTTTTTTATTCCATTATATAGATCATATTTTGTTTCAGGTGATATATCCGACACATTTCATTTAAAACTTTTGAATCATTTCTTAAACTATTTAATTAAATTAAATTAAAATAGTATGTAAAATAGCATGCAACTCTACTTACCATTTGATGCTTTTTTTAATAATGTTGCTAACAATCCTCTGAGATTTTCTAGTAGGTAAAGCAAGAACGTCGTTGCTCCTTTTTTTCCTGGTCCTCTTCTCTCTTATGTTCTTCTTTTCCTGTTGAGGAATCTCTTCTTCGTTTGCCACCAGTTCTTTGGTTTTAGCCGAATTGTGAACCCATTCTGCCACATGATCCTGAACTTTTCGATCAGTCGATAACGTAGACTCTGCTCTCAGTTCTTCTTCGTTAATAAGTTCGCTAACAGTCGTAGGAGGCCCTACTATTCCAACTTCCATGTGTTCTACAATCTCTACGGATTGTTTGGTTTCAGAGTTCCTTCTAGATGATACAGATTCGTTTATTACAAGAACATCCGTATCATCATTCACAGTTTCTATCCCATCATCTTTCTCTGACTCTTTGTCTGTTTTTTCTTTAGTTTCTTCGTTGCCACTTTTATTCTCTTGGCTTAAACTTTTAGATTCCGTAGCAATCTGCTGCACTTCCGTTGAACTTAGATTTTCATGTACCACCTTTAATATTTCATTCAGTGTTTCCTCTTCTTCCGAAATTGTATTTTTAATTTCATTAATTTTTACAATTGAATTCTCTAATTGTTTAGGGTTTTTCTCACTGTCCACTTCCTTTAATCTTGTATTCATCGTTACATCTTCTTTTGTATGTTTTTCATTTTCAGACGCAGCATTCTCAATTTTATTTGAGCTTTCTGAATCTAAATTTGATTCTTGATTTTCTACTTCGACAACAGCAACTACTTTCAAATCATTCTTGTGAGGATCGCTTGCTTCGGATTTATTTTTGTTAGAAATATCCGACGTCTCGCTGTCTTCTTCTTTCTTTGCGGATGTCGTGGCATCGTTCATCACTTCTTTCTTATCTACAACTTTTATTAAATCCGTATCTTCTATTTTGCTCTCTGCCATTTTTTTGTTATATTAATTTATTTTAGAGATTCATTTGCAATATTTAAACATGCGTAAATATTTAGATAATGACAAATTTTTAAGGTATGTCAAATTCACTGTTATCATGTTATCATATGAGCATATACCGACAAATTGGTCTACAAACTTTTCCTTTCAAGCAATATATTATCCATTTGCGTGTTTCAATTGCGTTCTGTAAAAAAAATATAATACATTAGTATTACCACCCGATTAAATACATAACAAATAATTTACATTTTGTATTTTACGAATATTTTTTACATAACAGCTTTTATCGACTGATCGTCGGTAAGAGCGGTTACGCAAATGTAGATTTACTTAAAATTTTGAGGTTAAAATGGTATAGCATCTGAGAAAACATTGTAACATCCGAGATATCAATGTATTTAGAATATCGATACTCTATAATTATCTTCATGCTTAGATCTTTGTTCATGGTTCAGAATGATGTAAAAGTTTTGAGTATTGAGTTACTCAATAACATTGAACCTTGTAATGATTAACTATTGGTGTTTGGACAAATAATTTTCTGCACAAATGATGTCCCAATATTTGTATCACCATTTCTTCTTGCAGAAACGAAATTTTCTGACAACTTTATGAACGGTAGAATTGTAAATTACATCAAAATGCAACTCTAATTTATTTATATGCCACCTTTATCTCATCGCGAAAGGTTATAATAGTTGTATTTAAGATATTATAAATTACCTTCTGTCATACGATTTTTCACTTTACATCAACGAATGCACTTTATATTCACAACATTAAATGCACTTGAGAATAAATTGTGACATTTGTTTGACTCGAAAGTTACTTAATGACACTAACAGAGTATAACATTATTGGCCGACACGTTCATAACCTCACTTATTTTCGCCTCTCTAACAGTATGATTGCGACAGTGGACCGAAAGTGCACAGGAACGAGAGAACGATGACAAATGACAATCTTGAATATATCTCGAGTATTAAAATATGAGGGAAGCAAAGAGAAAAGGCACAAAAAATACTGCACACTGAAAAAAGTATGAAGTCACAGGGACGTGTCAAGTCAAGCCTGTTGTATCTATGTTTTCCTTTTTTCGTCTTTCTCTCTCCCTGTTCCTCTGTTGTGAAAAGTACTCTTAGTTTTACATTATGGCTGACGGTCACGGAAACAATCCGATCAAGACAATATGCCAATGTACTTAAAAGAAGTTTCCACAGTATCGGAGTAAAACGAGAACACGACCCCGTGGTACGTAAGGCTAGTGACCTCTACCTCTTTGAAGTATGCGTTTATGTGTGTATGCATGTATTTCTGTGCGTCATACATTATAGTAAACCCGACGTGCTTATTCTGATTTACCTACTATTACACGCGTGTTGAACGTTCGCGATTTAAGTACTCGTACGATCGTGCTCTTTGCTCGGGAGAATGTCACGAAATAGCTTAAATCAATCATTGTACATACTGGTGTATTTGCGTTGCATTATGTAGCATTTCGTGCTGAGTGCATCTTCGCGGATTTTTTTGTTCCGACCAATCAAACGCGTTTGCACGTTTCATTGACAGCGACGCCTTTCGCGAAGGGTGAATGTGATATTAATTGTCACGGTATTCGACGCGAGTTAATGACACAATTTTTCTATTGAAAACACTGGAAACGATTCACACGATAGAAAAATTCTCGCGTTCTCGCGTGGCACACTATACTCAGACTATTTTTCGTTTGTGGCCAAGCCGCGCGCGCGTGTTCCCAACAAAATGGCGGCTCTACGATATAGCACATATTCTTGTTATTCGCATTTTTTTGCATCATACGTTTACTTTTGTACTTGAACATCGTTGTTATTTACAAATATATATTACGGTGGACGTATTGTAACGTATTTCTAAAAATTTACCACTTAACTTGTTTTGGAGAACTACAAGTAATTTAAGAGACCCAATAATCAATCTCTCGATAACACGTGTGATAGTGGCGCCAACTTTAAATTCCATAAAGTAAAATGTACCTTGCAAAATTTACAAATATTCGTTTATTTAAGGGGCTACTATTTTGAAAGTAAAATGGTACTTTTAGTTTGACTTTTATCTCTATTTGTTAACATTATTTTACGCTCTTTATTATTGTCTGACTATAAAAAAATACATTGAAGATATGTATATTTCAATAAATTAATAATATTCAATACGCAATATGTTGCAAATTCTTATTGGTGTTGTGTCTATTAGAATATTTCAATGGTTTTAATTGTTCTTTCTCTGTTTAACACTTAATATCTTAATTAATCGAAACGTACAACAGTTAATTCACAAGTTCATACGTTTGTTGAAGTATTAAATTAAATGCAGCATAGTCAGTTTTCATGCTTTACAAGTAAGTTGAAAAAAAAAATGTTGCAATTTAAACCGTACAACTGGAATATCATGAATGATAAAATTTTATTTTTCAGTAACAAATTATATTCTGTCATCTTCATGTTGTTGATAAATACAGCAAATATGTATATGTTTTGAAATTGAATTAATAAAAGGATTATATGGACATCTTTTGAAGAAACATAAAAGATATTGCATTGGTCTCGTATATTTACAGATTATTTATGATTTATAATCAATAATGTCGTACAATATATATATATATATATATATATTTTTATATATATATCAACAAAATAATGTTTTAGTCATTCTTACAAAGCTAATAAAATCTAAAGGCTAAACAGTCAGGGTTGATCTAAAAAGTTGGCTTCTCTCCGCACCGCGAACCTTTCGTTCGTACGATTACCTTCGCATATTTGCCTACCTAATAATAAATAAACAAACAAGTATAAATCTATACATTCCACGTGTCACGTGGCGAGTGAGGGTAATTATGATAATTAGTATTGTGAACCACGACCGCAGTGAACACACGATGTCGAGCAGCCTCATCTTCAGTCTCTCCCTATCTAAATGCTTCTTAACTGTAATAGTTTGCATAAAAATATACAAGATAGATTCTTCCATGATAGAGAATAAGCATCTGCCGACAATTTCCACTAGAGAACACTACGTTTATGCTTCCTCAAGGATTGAAATCTTTTTTCTTTCGTTTTCCCCCCCGCCCTAAGAAATGAGCAACATACAATATACTGATGTTTGTTCCAATTGTTTGTCTCTCGATGAACGACGAGAGATCGAAAAAACCTGAAGATAAATATTTCAGAACTGACGGATATCGTACAATTGAATTAATCCAGGAGGAATTGCACATGTCCTTCGACACACGCGTTGAATTATTTAGCGCGCTCGTTTGAAAACGCTGCTTCGCACGACGACAGGGACTCTTTCTCTTATTCATAAATCATGGAAAGTACGATTCATTAGCAGGATGATATACGGCGAACCTGTTAACTGCTCATCGGCAACGGTGTAATCAGACATCGTTTTATTTTCAATACGCGCATTCAAGGATATACAATTCCGTTTGTGGAGCGGATTTCTCGTTTTTCCTCGCTCCAGCCGCAGTCGATTTACTCGAATTCTCTTTGACAACGATCGACTTTCTCGGTGTTTGCCGTCTTTCTCACGCCATTGAATGGTACCTGCGACATACATCTCATCCGCGTGTTTTAATTTTTTTCTTTTTTTTTGTTCAACGATCGTCGTCAATTTTTGAAACGAATTTCTAACCAAAATAATGTTTGTTCACCAGTTATGTCTAATTTCGGTCTAGATGATCCGAATAGTCTCATCAGCGAGTACAATTCGTCCAGTTGAATGGCAAAGTGGAAGTGACGTCGTAAAACGGACCTTTTGTCGTGAGTTTACGGATTTACGCGATACGGTTCTACATGTTTATCTAATTATCTTAAACGTACGGTTTACAATCCTAATTTTGATATACTTCGACAGCGTGGCAGAGTAATTTGATTTGCTGTAATTGAATAACAATTTGTAGCGTGTCTTGCCGCGAGGAACTGCTCGTAAGTTATAATACAGTTTGTCTGAAAGTATCGCAAACCAGGTGAAAGAAATCACGATAACTTGTGCAAACGAAATGATTCAAATGTTTTAATCAACATTTCACCCAAGCACGACCGGGACAAATTGCCACAACTATTTCCGAATGGGTGTGGTCGAACGATGTATATTTCAATTGCACAAATCACGGCGACAAATACCGAGAAATATTCAACATCTGAGGGAGCTCGTTCTTTCGTGCATAGGTACGCTCAATCGTAGATAATTCATTTCATGCGCATTTTCGTGTGCCCTATTTAACGTGTACATTGTTACGTAAATATTTCCTCTACCTAAATCATCTACCTATATACCTATGCTTTCCCCGTGCTCTTTTCTCTCCATCGAAATACTTTGTCGTTTTTCTTTTTTTTTTTTTTTTTTTTTTTTTTTAACTATCGAATAGCACCTGTTTTCCCGCCATTTTCAGACGCGCACGCCAAGCCATTCCACGTTCTCTTTATCCATTCTCTCGATTCATTTCACCTAGTCGTGAATCGTTGAACAACGACTTGGCTCACTCTTTTAACACTCTGCTTGCCTGGATCGAGTTTACACACGCACAAGTACGAGAAACAAAAGCAAACGTTTTTTACGCAACGTAGAAATTAATCCGCTTGAGCAAAAATTGCGATCGTAGTTAATTATTATTACAGGTACGTAGTTAATGATTACAGGAACGTAAGGCATTTAACAGAAGTGATGCTTATTTTCAGCAGAACTGGCAGGGGAAATATATTAGATTTTTAATTTGACAATGTGGGGACAAGAATCGAACAAAGATGATGAATACCTCCTTCCCCTCACATTCCTCATCAATCGATCTTTCAATTCGTTTCTATTTACAGTTTATATCTTACAAATTTACTTACACGCGTCCTACTAATCCGCATGATCGATAAGTGTGTACATCTGATGGAGAAATAAATAAAATCGTGGGCTTCGTTTTGCTCGAATATTTCCTTCTCGTTCACCTTATTATT